AACGTATATTTTTATATGAGAAGCTACAATATTTGGCTGCTAGAGATATATCATCGGGAAGAAGGGGGGGGGCTAAAGTGTTCACTAGCTGCTCAACGGGTCGTGAAGGAATCCCCTGATTTGGGTGTGCTATGCCTAAGGGACAGAATAGAAAAAGATACCTCAATAGATGTAATCTCGTTGAAGTTCTTTGTATTTGGGATGCCAAGGCATCGCATTCCATGTTGATGCCTCCATTCCTTGAAATGTCGTTCGTAAGCTCTACGACCCCAGTAACTGTGGTTCCCACAGATCTCACACTTGAATTCCTAAAAGGCATAATAAAAAACACTATTAAGAGCACAAAAAACAAGCATTCAAATGAAATAGTAAACAGTGGGGAGGACCATTCTGGGACACATGTACATGGCTGGTTAACATGGAGGGAAAATAGGTTGAGTAAGAGCTAGTAATCAGGTAAAGGCCGGAGCACCCAACTTGCTACTACTTAGGCTGCATAGCATTTGTCTCCAAATGAAACCCTTTATGCTAGACATAAACTAGGCTATTTTATTTGGCATTCAAAGATAGTCCTGCCCTAATGTGTTATCATCCAATAGTTAATACTCCGTACTATACTAGCTTTTGAGGTAACCCTGGTAATTGAAATGAGAAGCAACCATGCTGACTCTAAGATACCAAAAACATTACCCCAATGCCTCAAAGGTTCCCGCCAATTGCGGGGTAGGGGGGGGTCAGATGTACGCAACATGACCCCAATGTTTAAAACATAGAGCGGCTGTTTCCAGATGAACTATGATGAGCATCGAAAGTTGCATTGACTAACAGCTATTTCACTATTAAAAGAAATACAAATAGTTTAAAAGCCATTTTACATTACTCCATCATGACCCAACGCCAAAAAATAGTGAATCTTTGGCTCCACCGGAGATTATCGAACATGCTGACTATAAGATAGAAAGTGAAAATTTAGGAATTTATGATGTTACCTGACCAAGCCCATGAAGTTTATATAACCAGTAAGGGATAGGTTTCCCGTCCCATCCCATCGGCAACTTCAAGGGGTTATAAATCTGCTGATCTTCATCATCGCTCTCTAACTCTGCTTGTTCTTCTTCCTAACAGAAATCGACAACAAATTGATGATGCACTTTTAAAAAAAACTAAGAGTAAACAAATTACTTGTGCATGTTTCTCAATGAAATGCCATTTTAAACGCATGATCTATGCTATGCAGAGCATAGCACTGATCAAGCAAGCTATAAACCATCCTACTTTGTATTGCAAAATAAAACGAATGACAACAATGGATTAAAAAATGATGTGTAATCACTAATCATATGCTCCCTCCGTCCTAAAGAAAAATAAAAATAGAAAACATACTTTTGTCTCAACAAGTCTTATTTGAACAAAAGAATCTAATATTTAATGAATGTTTTCCTGAAAAGAGTGTCCCAAACAAGATAAGTATTTTAAATTTAGTAAGACAGATACTATTAGAATTGATAATTTCAAATTGTATCTTTCTTAAATTGAAAATTCTACTTTGGTGGAACATGACTCCTTTTTTGGATAGAGACAGTAGCCGTTTTGAAATCCATAGTTTGTACTCCTGCACAATTCCATTTATAATTTCCCAACAGCAGGGCAATCTATAAGTCTATTGCCAGCGGAGCTAAAAGTCATTTTCACAAAGTTTTAGCTTCAGGTAAAAATGGACTGATCAAAAGTGTTCATTCAATGTCCCCTGCTTCTTAATTTCTATGAAGTTTTGGGAAGTAAATGCATCAATGTGTCATGGTTCCAACAGAAACAACCTCTCCGCTGTGTTTTTACTGGGGTGAGGTGCTTTATGAATACATTGTTGGTATTGTTGCTAACAGCAGGGTAATCTAGGAGTTACCTCTTCCCGTTCTGCCTCCCTTTCCCCATAAGTCTGAGCCTGTTTCTTCTCAACATTTTCCTTGGTAAGAACTATTGTCTGCAGGGCAA